AACTTAAACAATGCTCAAGAAACTTGACACCATCCAGGACAAAGCAGCACACTCGATTAGCATCATATCCACAACATTCACTCCCTCCATCATTGATTCACAGTAGCAGCAGTGTGTACCAGCTACAAGATACACCGCGGAAATTCACCAAAGCTCTTTAAACAGCACCTCGCTAACCTATGACCACTTACATCAAAAGGGAAAAGGGCAGTAGGTACATGGGAGCACCACTATCTGCAATTCAAGCCATGCACCATTCTGGCTTGGTAATACATTGCTGCTCCTTTAGCATTGGTGGATCAAAATTTTGAACTCCCCTGACAGCTTTGTGGGTGTGCCAACACCGAATCAACTGTGGAGGTTCAAGAAAGCAGCTTCTCAATGACAATTACGAATGAGCAATAAATGCTGGCCCAGTCAGGGAAGCCCATATCCCCCAAATAATAAAAAAAAAGTGGAGCATGTTTCAGTCAGAAATGGGGAACAGTGATCATAAAATCGTCAGATTTAGAGTAGTTACGGAAAAGAACAAGGTACAACAAGCATAAAAATACTTAACTAGAGGAGCGTAACCTCCATCAGTCAAAAGGCATTGGCTGGGTATAACAAAAACGTGGTCCGCAAAACAGATTTGAACAAAGGAGATCTTTGGTATGTTGTGTATTAAGTAGAAAAACTTTTATGAGGTGTAAAGGAAACTAAAAGTCTCTGGATGACAAAAGGTATAAAGATTAACATGAGACAGAAAAAAGAGCTGACAGATGGAAGATTCATGGAGCGCTAGAGAGCCAAGCTGAATATAGAACACAGAGACTAAAAATAGAATGAGAAAGGTTAAAGAGGAAGTATCAGAATACATTAGTTGCTAACATGAAACAGAACCAAAAATTGTTTAATAAACATGTGCTTTGTTAAAGTGCGGCTGAAGGAAGGGTGAGGTTTATTATGGAATCTAAAGGAGATAGGATTGTGGAGACAGGAAGCGTGGCTGAGCTACTGGATAAATACATTGAATCCCTTTTCACCAAAACGGGAGTTGCTTCGAATGGAATATAATAACATATACATACACACTTCTTTTACATTTCAACCAATATATGGATGTTGGATAGGATAAGAATAGATAATGGAACTGCTTGAAATGTTGACAGCACTCAAAGTAGAAAAGTCATGCATTTTGGTTGGGTTGCATCCTATGCTGCTAAGAAGGAAGTGTAACCACAATCTCCCATTACTAATTGGATTTCTAGCTGGTACCAGAGGATTGCAAGTGTTATATGTTTGTTTAAAGCAAAGGGAGAATGATAAACCCAGCAGCTCCAGGTCACCCAGGCTGACACAGCAGTAGGGAAGCATTCAGAAAGGTAGGGGCTAATAGATTAGAATCTGCACAACAACTACTTGTATTTAAATAGCACATGTAACATAATAAAGAATCCTATAAATTAAGAGCTGATATGTTTCACTAACTTATTGGGGGAGGCAATGGCCTAGTGATATTATTGCTGGATTATCAATCCAGAGACCCAGGTAACGTTCTAGGGACCCAGATTCAAAACCCACCACCGCAGATGGTGGAATTTGAATTCAATGTATATCTGGAATTAAGAGTCTAATGATGACTGTGAATCCATTATCCATTGTTGGAAAAACCCATCTGGTTCATTAACATCCTGTAGGGAAGGAAACTGCCATCCATACCTGGAATGGCCTTACATGTGACTCCAGACCCACAGCAATGTGGTTGACTCTTAACTGCCCCCTGGGCAATAAATGCTGTCTAGCCAGCAACACCCTCATCCCATGAATGAATAAAGAGTAAAAACCTTGACTGGGACAAATGTTTTTTTTAATTCATTAACAGGATGAGGGCATCACTGGCTAGGTAGATTTGTTGCCCATCCCTAATTGCCCAGAGGGCAGTTGAGAGTCAATCACACTGCTGTGGGTCTGGAGTCACATGAGGGCCAGACCAGGCAAGGATGGCAGTTTCCTTCTTTAAAGGGCATTTGTGATCCATATGGGTTTTTCCCGACAATCAAGAATGGATTCATGGTCATCATTAGATTCTTAATTTCAGATATTTTATTGAATTCAAATTCCACCATCTGCTGCAGTGGGATTTGAACCTAGGTCCCCAAAACAATATCTGGGTCTCTAGATTAACAGTCTAGCTATAATATCACCAGGCCATCACCTCCCCGGTTGACATATTTATAGAACTTAGTGCATCACAACCATAATGCAGAAGCTGGGAAGTGGGGCAAGAGGAGGTTAGAGGTGCTGCTTTTCATCTCCAATGCTTCTAGTGGTTGAGGCAGTCAGCATTTAAGCATTTTAGTCCAGTGTTGTAATGCTCAGTGCAATGTAATGTGTAGAAAAAGAAAAAAAGATGTAAATAATCTAGATTAAGGTGGCTGTGTTTTGAACTGCGTTATGAGAGAGTTAATGGACAGCCATACCATCCATTGCGAACACAACTGCAACAGATGTCTCCCATGTCTCCAATACAAATCTTGCCAACCAGATTGCAAGTTGAAAACACTGCCACATAGGCACAGAGGAGGAAAAGTATTCGGTCAATTTCCTTTGGTTACACTTTGTAGAGACATACTGGTTCTCAGTAGGAGTTTACATGATCAATCATATACAGAGTAAGAAGAATCCAGGATAGGTAGGGAACAAAAATCTCCAGAAACTGCTCCTACTCAACCTGTAGAATGTACTTGCTACCTGTGAGGAGAAAGATAAACAGCATGCCAATGAGATTAAGTGGAAAGCTCTACTCAAGGAACACAAGGGGCCAAATCACCTCATTCTGTGCTGTATCATTTTATGATTTAATGGTTTTATGATTGCACACCCGCAGCAATGTGGTTGACTGTTAAATGCTCTCTGGAGGGGCCCAACAAGGCATTAGGTTCAAGGACAGCTAGGCATGAGCAAGAAATGCTGCCCTTGCCAGGGATGCTAACAGTCCTTGAGAGGATAAATTTAAATGTAATAACGTTCTATCATGCACAGAATTTTTATTCTCAATCCTGCCTGTAATCAATATGTTTTGTGCATAAAAGGTATCCTTTCCTACCCTTGGCATTGGGCATCCAATTAAATAATTCCAGCGGCAATTTTTTGAGTTTAAAAATAATGTTATGAATAATGAAACATTAATGTGGAAGTGGTGGCACAGTGGCTCAGTGGTTAGCACTGCTGCCTCACAGCACCAGGGACCCGGGTTTGATTCCACCCTCAGGAGACTATCTGTGTGGAGTTTGCACATTCTCCCTGTGTCTGTGAGGGTTTCCTCTGGGTGCTCCGGTTTCCTCCCACAATCCAAAGTCCAGCTAGTTGGATTGGACATGCTAAATTGCCCATATTATCCAGGGATGTGTAGTTCTGCTGGGTTAGCTACAGGAAATGCAGGCTTGGAGGGAAAGGATAGGGGCATAGGTCTGGGTGGGATGCTCCTCGGAGGATCAGTGTGGACTTGGTGGGCTGAATGGCTGCTTCCATAATGCAGGGATTCTATGAAATGACATTATTCCATTTTTATTTACTATTCAAAACTGTCAGCCCCTTTAGCTGGTAACTAAGATAACAGAGCACAGGATGAAGTTCCATAAGCTATTGCCATGACTGTCTGCAGCAGAGAGGTTCAAGTTTATAATAAAGATTAGAGTCTCCAACATGTCATGAAATGTGCATTTCCCAGCAGAATCCAAATCCCTGCCTGTCTTTCTCTTCCTGTCCTGCAACATGGACAGATGCACAGACCATGCAACTTGCCTGGTTGGACACGGGCCAAGGAGATCCACTCAGAAAACAGGGAAGCTCGGAGTCAGGGAATACTGACCCAAGACATCAAACCCAAGTGCCAAGGTGCCCAGTGAAGATGGTAGTGCTGGATTCAGTTGCCTCACAACCACACCCTTGTATATTCCAGTCCTGCTGATTTAGGAATTTAGGAATGCAAAGTGAAAACCTTCTTCGATTAGTCCAGGGGGGTGATGGTGGTGTCTATCTGAATGGGCCCTAGGGAACGGGGGCTATCTGTCCCAACATGCCATGAGGAAGGGATGGGGTCGGTATCTGTCTGAACATGCCATGGATATTGGGGGGGGAGGTGGTGTCTGTCCCAACATGCCAGGGGTTGGGGGAATATCCGTCCCAACATGCCATGGGGATGGGGGGGGTGGTATCTGTCTGAACATGCCACGGCGGGGAGGGTGTCTGTCCCAATATGCCACAGGGATGAGGGTGTATCTGTCTGAATATGCTGGGCAGAACGGGGGGGGGGTGTCTGTTCCAACATGCCAGGGGGATGGGGAGGGTGTCTGACCCAACATGCCATGGGGATGGGGGAGTGTGTCTGAACATGCCATGGGGGAAAGGATGGAGGGGGTAGATACGGAGGGCTAAATGAAGCCTGCAGTGGCAGAAAGGCCCCCGGGTGGGGGTTGCTGCTAGTTGCAAGCCCGGGGTGACATAGGGTCAGCCCGAACAAAGGCGTTTCCATGGGGGCTGCCCTGGTCACTTAGCAACTGCGATGTAGCACAGTTTATGAGGTGGGTAGGGGGGGCGGGGTAAGAAAAGAGGAGAGGTGGGGGGTGAGATAGAGGGAACGGGAGAGAGAGGTAGGGGTGTGGGGGAGTTGGTCTGCTCAAATGGGCGTCCCTGTGGTCTGGTGAAGGGGAGAAGAGGATCCATTGCTGAGTTTGCCTCACTAGAGGAGGAGTAGGAGGGGAGGGGTGTGTGTGTTGTAGAGGTGAGGAGGGGAGGGAGGCTGATAGCAGGATGTCACACACGTTCACCTTATCGGAGCTGGTCAACCTGGCCATCGGCACCCCCGAGGTGGGGGTATGCAACTTTAACGCGCTGCACGCCTTGCTGCACGGCATCCTGGAGCACCTCCGCATCAGCGAGGCGCAGAAGACGGTGGGCGAGGTGGAAGTTGAATTCATCAAGCCCCAGAGCCCGGCTACAGTCGGGGACAAGTCTCCCGGCTCCCCCACCGAGGAAGGAGGAGAAGGAGGAAGCATGACCCCTCCTGCCGCCCGGCCGGGCGATAACGGCAGGCCAGTGTCTCTGTTCCACCAGCTGGAGGAGAAGGTCGCCAAGCTGCAGGCGGCCATGGAGTCCCTGAGCCAGCTCCCCAGCGCCCCGGAGCTCCTCGCCCGTAGCCAGGCGGACGCCGTGCCCATCCGCAAGTTCTCGGTGTCCGGCAGCAGCACCGGGCCCGTCAAGGACATGTGGCAGTTGATGCAGGTCAAAAAGAAAGTGGAAGCGAACGAGGAAGGAGTCAACAAGGTGAGGCGCAAGGCTTTTGGTGGCCACTTACAGTTAGGAGCAAATTGCTGCAGGTGCTGGAACCTGCTCTGAAAAACGAAACAAAAATTGCCGGAGATCACAGCGGATCAGGCAGCATCCGTGGAGAGAGAGAGAGCAAGATGTTTCGAGTCTGCATGACTCTTCAGCAGAGCCGTAAATATGTAAAATATTGCCCCGTATAAGTAAGAAATGGCTTGGGTTTTATTTTACAACTGCAAGGAATAACAAATCCCACTTAATTATGAATAAAAACCGAAAGAACTGCGGATGCTGTAAATCAGGAACAATCGGGTCCCGAAACGTTTACTCTGTTTTTTTCCTTCACAGATGCTGCCAGACCTGCTGAGCTTTTCCAGCAAATTTGTTTTTGTTCCCACTTAATTATGCACTGTCAACACCCTTTCTCCCCTAGCACTCCAATCCCCCTCACTGTAGCATAAATGCTGTCCCCTCCACACTTCAGCTCTGATGAAGCGTCATCTAGACTCGAAATATTAGCTTTGTCTCTCTCTCCATGGGTGCTGTCTGATCTGCTGTGATCTCCAGCACTTCTTGTTTTCAGTTACAATCAATCTGGATAATAAAAGCAAAACACTTAAAAGATGCTGAAACAAAGCCACAGAGTGCTGGAGAAACTCTGTGGTGAGACAAGCAGCTTTTTTTAAATTTCAAAATACACTGTGTTCATCAATCTTTATGCACATACACGGTTTCTAAAGCAGTTCTGTACAGTTCTTTGCACACGAAGAACGCACAAACATTGGGATTTGTTACTGAAAACAACAAATGCTAGAAATTACAGCGGGTCAGGCAGCATCTATGGAGAGAGAGCAAGCTAACATTTCAAATCACGATGACTCTTCACCAGAGCTGATGCAAAGTGTGGAGAGGGCAGCATTTATGTTATAGTTTAGGGGTGGAGTGCTGGGGGAGAAACAATTTAGATAGTGTGGATTTGTTATTCCTTGCAATTGCAAAATAAAACACAAGCCATTTATGACTTATACAGGACAATATTTACATATTTACAGCTCTGATGAAGCATCATCTCGACTCGAAACTTGCTTGCCCTCTCTCCATGGATCCTGCTAGACTGGCTATGATTTCCCGCATCTTTTGTTTTCAGTACAATATTTACACACATTTGAGGTACCGAGAGGCTCTGATAACTGAGTGGACTCTCAATGTACACATTGCGTCTTGGTGGCAGCTGCCCCAAGCTTTAGTGCGCCCCTCAGTACGTGGTCCTGCATCTCAGAATGTGCCAGTCTGCTACACTTATTTGGGGTCAACTCTTTATACTGAATGTTTTCAGTCCAGTGTGACTTCTTCAGAACAGTATGACTTCCACTTGAGTTCTGAAGAAGTCATATTAGACTCAAAATGTTAACTGTTTTTCTCTCTCCACAGATGCTGCCAGACCTGCTGAGTTTCGCCAGCACTGTTGTTCCACCTAGGTGATATATATACAACTGCTAGACCTTCAGGTCACATTCTTCGAACAAAAAAACTTCATAGGCTGAAAAAACACTATTGCCTGAGTTCCTAGACACATAACCAACTTTCAATCAAATTCAGCTTATTTAGGTTTGTGCAGGTACCAGTAAGTTGTATTTTCACACATTTTGGAAATGGAATGTTAAAAATTTGCCTCCCAATTCCCACTGTAGTCTTTCTACTCAGCTAAAACAGAACATTTGGTTTAGGGTTGGGTGAAATATAAACATTTTCAAATGTTACTCCAAGCAATCCACTTGTGGGCAATCTTCCTGCTCTAAGGAAATAAATTGCCAATTAAATATGACAGGGGGTTTGAAGAAGCCAGTGACTCAAGGAAGGCAAGTGCAATCGCAGGGAAAAGTCAGGTGTCCTCATGGGTGGGACTAGAAAGAGTGTAAATGTTTCTTCATTACGACCACCCTCTTTCCTGCCAGTGGCACCTGCCCCCAGTCATTAACAATGTAATGTGGTTCACAACTAAATCCTTCCACCACCACCTCCCCCCTGCCAACACCACCACCTCCCCTCCCACCAACACCACCTCCCCTCCCGCCAACACCACCTCCCCTCCCATCAACACCACCTCCCCTCCCGCCAACGCCACCACCCCTCCCACCAACACCACCTCCCCTCCCACCAACACCACCTCCCCTCCCACCAACACCACCTCCCC